TAGTGCTTTAGGCCAGGCGCCGTCAGCGGCAGGTGCCGTGGCCAACCAGTCTCGCAGGAACTCTAAGTCCTGAGCACGTAGAAGCCAGGGGGCGGAAGTAGCACAAAATACGGCAGGTCATTGCCACGCTTGCTCCACATGCTACAGTTACATGCGATGAAGCCTGTCATGGGCGGCGGGCAGGCCTTCCTCGCGACCAAATCGGGGTTCTCTTTGAGCTTGTTGACTGCGACGCGGAGAGCCTGACGAGAAAAATGCGCAGGAGCTGTTGCCTGCAGATATATTTGTGCCACTCACGCCAGCGAGCTCAGCAGGAAAGCTTCCCGTCCGCAATAGAACAGTCACGCGTGCCTGGGTGTGATACTCTTGCAAGCCCCAGCCTGACTATCCTTTCGCTTTGCTCCAGTTCAAAGCCTACAAGCAGAAGGACCTCACCAGCAGCGACGTCGAGGTGGGACAGCTGCGAAAGTGCACAGCGTTTACATCGGTGTTTGGAGGTCTCGGATAATAACCTCGTCCGCAGCAGTTGCGGCTCATGGGGAAGGGGACGTGCTGCCGACCGCAGTACCAGAAGCTCTCCGAGCGGCTGTTGACGTCGCTGCCGCTGAAGGCTCACGCGACAAGAGTCCTCGGCTGGTTCCCAGAGACGCCGCTCGCCTGCATTTCTCGAACACGGCATTGACTGCATGTCGGCCGTCGCCTACGCCTTGATAAGCCATCTCGTGATGTCTCAGCTTCTCTCACCACACTTAAATGACATCCCCTCATGTCACCGAGTTTCCCCTGGAAGGTCTATATTGGTACAAACGAGATAGCGGCTGCACAACACGCGACCTTGGACTCACATGCCAACGTTGTCGCTCATGTTTGCTCAAGGTCACGGCGGTGCAGATATATTTGTGCCACTCACGCCAGCGAGCTCAGCAGGAAAGCTTCCCGTCCGCAATAGAACAGTCACGCGTGCCTGGGTGTGATACTCTTGCAAGCCCCAGCCTGGCTATCCTTTCGCATTGCTTCAGTTCAAAGCCTACAAGCAGAAGGACCTCACCAGCAGCGACGTCGAGGTGGGACAGCTGCGAAAGTGCACAGGCAACAGCTCCTGCGCATTTTGCTCGTCAGGCTCTCCGCGTCGCAGTCAACAAGCTCAAAGAGAACCCCGATTTGGTCGCGAGGAAGGCCTGCCCGCCGCCCATGACAGGCGTCATCGCATGTAACTGTAGCATGTGGAGCAAGCGTGGCAATGACCTGCCGTATTTTGTGCTACTTCCGCCCCCTGGCTTCTACGTGCTCAGGACTTAGAGTTCCTGCGAGACTGGTTGGCCACCGCACCTGCCGCTGACAGAAGACCTGCTTGACCTCAACGACTTGGGTGTTGTCACCGTTGCGCGGGTGGGACCCACGTCTAGCGTGCGTGCCAGGCCTCTCAGTGCAGAGGCGATTGGCGTTGGACCGCCCATGCTTGCTGTCCCACCAATGTCCGGCGCGGGCAAGCGTGCGGCGCCAGATGCACAACCTGCTGGCCCCCCTGCAGCAGCGCACAGACGCCCAGCAGCTGCGCCGCTGTACGCAGCGGTTGCGCCCGCTGAGCCCGCTGAGGGCGAGGAAGAGGAAGAGGAGGCAGAAGAGCCTGAGCGCTGCATTGTGAGGACACAAGTTGAAATGGAAGCCCCTATGTCCCACGCCCAGGAATGGAAACAGGAGTGGGGGCGTGCAAATTTGCCTGCAAGAATCCACGGCCCAGGATTTCGGCCGTGTGTCACCAAACGACGTATCAAGGAGCGATGCGCTCGTGCTTTCTGCCTGTGTGCGGGGGAAGATGCAAGGCGTGCGCCCAAATGCACGGTCGTCTACACCGGTATTTACTGCGCTGCAACTAAGTTGTTCACCATCGAGGAGACTGGCTCGCACCATCGCCCGGCAGAGGGTGAGCAGGTCCAGGAAGCCTCCGCAAGGAAGCCGCGGAGAAATTGTCGGGCGCTCATGCTCGACTTGCCTGAGGTTTACACTAAAACTGTGCAGCAGCAGCCCAAATCCACGCTGGACTTCGTGCAACAAGCGGACAAGTGGTCCCGTGATCCAGACAATTTCAAAGGGTCTGAAGGTGAAAAGCCCTTTAAGGTCAGTGTCATGTCCGGCTTCAAGTTCCCTGGCAATAAAACTCCCACATACGTTTTACTGCAGTGCTCGAGTTGTGCTATAGAGGAAAGCCCTTGCTCGTGGCGCCGCCAGACTGAGTCCGATGCCGAAGTTGGGGCCCGGCGACGCGCTATTTGGGAGCATGCGTGTGTGTTGGGTTTGGGCGATATTCGCCCGTACTACCGCTCTGAAGCTTTCTTTAAGGCCCCACGTTCGGAGCAGGTGGATCAAGTCCTCCATCGTCTCAGCGTGCCTGTGCAGTCTTGGGTGGGTAGCACTGATGCTCGCGCCCCTTTGAGCCCATCCTTGCCAAGCACACCCTCCACCTTGCCTGTGGCCGCTTCCGCACCGCCTTTGCCGAACATGCGGGGGGGGCGGCAAAAAGGCCATGGCCAAGCCTGCTGCCCAACCTCCTGCTGATCCTTCTGCAAAAGCTCGTCAAGTACCCCGGCGCAAGCCTGCAGCCGCATCGACCACGTATGGCGACGTCCGTGATCGTCTCTGGTACCAAGGCTTGGCCAAGCAACACCACAAGCTTGTATAGGCTTGCCGCCGACGCAATGCCGCAGCGGAATGACGCCACTCGTCTGGTATCCACTTATTTCCAAGCACAAACCGTGCACGGCGACAAGCCTGCTCATGTCCATGTTTACCCCATGACAAGTTGCCTCAACTTCCGCGTTGCATGCGCTGCGTGCAAGCCGCGGACTTGTACATGGGCAGCCTGCGCCACGTACGTGGCCAACACCCGTGAACGGGAGGTGTGGGTCTTGTCAACTGGCAAACACGGTGACCCGATCGCAGTCCAATCCAACCGTTGCGTGGTCGGAAACGCAAGTCCGAGAATCGGTGGGGCAAACCAGAGGACTGGGAAGTGCCCGGGGATGTGCTGAACGATAAAGGCTTGCGTCAACTGGTCAAGGACCACTTCTACAAGCATGCACTTGCTTCTAAAGCCTTCAAAGTGCAGACTGCCTCGCGAGAGCTGAAGGACTGCAACACACTTAAATGTGAGTTTCGGTGTTCTTCGCATCTCACCATGGAAGGCAAGCAGTGCAAGTGGCAGGGAGTGGCGCACTACGACACACAGACGCGCCGCGTCAAGGTAGAAACTGATCCAGCAACCAAGCATGGTCCCATGGAGAAGAAGCTTGGCAGAGTAAAGACGCCAGCTCGAGGAGCAGGCTGGCGGCATCGGTGCGGCCGATGCCTTTGACATACTTTGCGCCCCGCCCATTCAGCCGGGAGACGCCCGCCAAGCCGAGGGAGCGCAGGAGCTGCGATCTCCGCCCAAGATGTCGTTTCTCGCGGGGTGGACAAAACGACGCAACAAGCGCCTCGGTGTTGCAAAAGCCAGGCGGCAGGAGTTGTGGCGAGATGCTGACTTCCACGTCTTCATCAACCAATTGCAGGCTGCCCCGGCTGTAGGGGACGTGGATGAACTGCTCCGGCCTTACGCTTCCAGAGTGGACGGCAAGAAAACATCAGTAACATTGCTCTGCCCCGCTCTCGTGAAGGAGACGCTCGAGCATCTGCAGAACCCTCGTTTACTGAAGCTGTGCATGGACGGCACTTATCGTCTGCTCTATGGCAAATACGTGCTGCTCAGTGTAGGCGCTTTATCCAAACAGTGGAGCGCCGTCCACCGTGTCGACCGGAGTCACCACTCCAGTTTCAACGAGTTGGGGTTCGCCATAGCACATGCAGAACATGATGTAGCTTATTCAGGCTTGGTGCAGAGTGTTTTTGATGTCAGCCGCCAACTCGGATGTGACGTTGACGCAAGTTGCGTACGGCAGTATGCCGACATGCACACTGGCATCAGCAAGGCGCGACGCAGTGTCGTGCCTGAGAGCGTTGCTGTAGATGACTGGGCCGGGCACATGTTGTGGGAGCCACTGCCAAAGCTGGGAACGGTGGTGCTCGCAAATTACTGAAGGAGAAGCTCCAAGGTTCCCCAGAGGAACGCGCCAGTCGCGTGTCTTTCCTTCTGTCATGCATGTACACGACCCGCGCAATGCCAGCCCGACTTTTTCATGCCCACTGGACTTGCTTGTTGCATCGTGTAGAGTGGGCATCCCCCCAGGCTGCAACAGCCTTCGCCGCACAGTACCTTTGCAAAGAAACTGTTGGCCAGGATGCTCTATGGTCGGCTCGATGGCGGGCGGCGTATGACCGCATGTTGCCCGGGTCGGCCTGCGGGACGGCGCCGCAGGAAGCATGGCACATGAGTACGTTGAAGCGAGTTACTCGGCGCCAAAAAGTGAAAACGCCTTCAGACCTGGCGCAAAGCCTTGCAAACCATTGTGCGCTCGAAACTAGTGCGCTTGCGTCAAGAAGAACGTGCGTTGCACGACTGGCCCGGCCCTCATGCCCACGTGGCTCTGGCTTGCTTGACAGACGATGCTGGCTTGGGACAGGAAGGCCGCAGCAGCGCCAAAAGTCTCATAGAGCAGCCGCACTGGCACACCTTTCGTGACGATGCCAACAACCATTGGTTTCTTTTTCCTCGAAGTCTGTGGCGCCGTGTGCCTAACAATGAGCCCGAAGCACCCCCAGAGTATGCCCAGCGCATCATCTCCCCGCTTCCCTCCGGGACACTGACCAAGTACGTTCGTCTCATAAAAGCCCACTCTCAAAGCAAAGTGGCACGTGCGCTCCACGCGCTCGGCGTGACGGCTTCGCCGCTCCAAGAACCCTTAGAGATCACGAACTGGAGTCTGGCCAAGGAGTTGTTTGGACGGTGGTGTTTGGTCGTTGTGGGCCCGCACGCGCAAGAGTATTGGCGGCACGTGCAGCAGCATGGCGAGCCAAACATTCACGCGCGCGGACTTTGCACGTGCCATGAAGCCGCCCTCCACGGTCCTTGTGAGCACTTGTACGCTGCTTTCCTGCATCTCCGCTTGCCTGAGGTCAGCGACAGGCTATGCATGACAGTATAACGGCATGACCGTGGCGGAAGAACAAAGACGGGCGCAAGCCCGACAACCTCAAGCCAGCCGCCACGTGGCAGCGTTCGGCCAGGCCCGCGCGCGGGCGTTGCTGTTGCACCGTCGGAGGCAAGACCCCGTCCCTGCGTGCACGAAAGTGTGGTTGATTTGGTGCAAACAGTCAGTGGCGCCGAGCTCTGCAGCAAGCGCGTCGCTGCATTAAGCACGCTCGGAGTCCACACCCTCGCCGACCTCGATCCGCCTGCTCAGCGAAGCGCATCTGCGAACAGAAGCTGGCTTCACTTTGACAGAGACCTTATAAAGCTCAAACATCAGTTGGCGGCGGAGTCGGCCGCTGATGCACCCCGCGCAACGCCAACCAAGGTGCGCAAGCGACAACCCTCAGAGCGAGGGTCAGGACCAACAGAGGCAAAGAGGGCAAGTACACAAGCCATGCAAAATGTGATGGCCGGCAGCGACCCTGCCA